TACCAATTCGAGTCTTTTTTTTCGTTGAAACGATGGGCGGCTGTATCAGTTGGAATCCGCCATTAGTTTCCTATGTAAGAATTTGTGTCAGTAATCTGAAACTAATCTTTGACATAATTTAGATTTTAGGACAACTAAAACCAATTAAATAAACCAAAAAATAAAGATTTTACTGGCTGGACAGCGGATCTGGCGTAGCTGGCAAGTGGCGGCTGTAATCAAACTTCGGCTGGACAAAGACAATTGTGTGACAGAGCGTGACTATTTTAGTTTTCACCTCCTAGCTAAATAACTTAAGATATTTTAGTTCGAGTTTTGTTTCAAATTCCAATTTCATTGAACAATATATGGAATAGACATCGAAATAAAAATAGCATAATAATTCTAAGTAAATTTTATATTCACTTTAAGTTATGTATTTAGATAGAGAGGACTTTAAATCCGTAGTTATAGAATTAAATATATTAGTGAAGTTATTCCATAATGCATTAAATATATTATTATTAACTTTTAAGTGGAAGGGAATTAAAAGGTTTGAACTAAACTACCACTCCCGTTGTGGTCTAGTTTATGACTTAGTTCCTTCTTCGTCTCTTCCAAATTGAAGTTAAAGGGGAAAAAAATCTGCTTTATCTAGAAGATCTCTTCAGCTCTTTCTTTTCACCCCTTCTTTAATGATGATATGTCTAGTAAGTTAAATGAAAGAAAAAGATACTATTTCTGGAAATGCGTGATTGGTTAATTACTTCTCAAATTTAGTGGAAATAAATCATAATCCTCTTCGATGTTAAATCAAATCGATATAAGGGGAAGAATTTTTCATTTTCTTGAAGGAAGTTACTTTTTTCTCTTGACAATTTAATATCTTAATCAATTAACTTCATATCTACCTGTATAGTTACCTTATCATAAGTATCAGTTTTCTCAATTTTTAACTTCGAACTTTCTCTTATTTTCTCCGTCTCGAAGGTTTTCGACTTGCTTTTATTTCTCTCACAAACTTCATCAATCTCCTTATTAAATCATTTGTTTTTATCATATTTTAGCTCAAATTCATTACAAAATCTTATTCTTTGAACATTTTTTAGAATGTGGCAGTTGTAATGTTGAGTGCATTTTATGTTTGCTAATAGATTCATTTGTTTGTGGCTAAATGTCTCAGTGAGGCATCCGTATCCTTTCAACGATCAGGTTGTAGTATACATTCGTCATATTGGGCCTGGAGTTTCAATAGGACAAGTATGGCAAGAAGGGAAGCAATTACAACAAGTGCCTCACAAGTTGTGTGGTGAAATTTTAATGGTGAAAGATTGTTCGTGACTCTTCTAAATAGGATAAATCTACACTTATGTATATCAAATCATATTTTTAGCTTTTAATTTATTTAAACTAGATTATGAAAGTAACTAATTGTCCATTCATTCAGTGATACTCTCTCTTATATTCATTTTACTTCATCTCTTATTATTGATTGTATTACACTCTTGTATAAGTCATTATTAAGAGGTAATTGGAATTTTGAAAAACATAATTCATTCACCCTCTCGAGTTACCTTAGTACTTGAGCCAATATCTATCATGTGGGCATATGTTTTTAGAGAAGAAAATAGTCCAACTTGTGAAATAGTTAAATATGTCATGACTAATATATTGAACCGTTGTATTATTTAATTTTTATAAAAGTTGATATATTTTTTTTTTTGAAGTTGTAATTAAATTTCTAATTTATAAAAAATTATATCATCTTTAAAAATTATATTGTAATAGACTGTATGGTCAAAATGAGTTTTTAATTATTATTTTTGTGGCTTAAATAAGGTTA